CAGTGTAGGGCGACAACAGTTTTTCCGACAGTCCCACACGCCAGGTAGGTGACCAGAGGAGCACGAGAGAACCCGGAGAAAAGTGCACGTCCCTATGGTGAGAATCGTAGAGCTGTTGTTGGCGCGCCTGTGAAGCCTGTAGACGGTTACGGGCGACTTGGCGCGCGGGGTCGGCACGGGCAATGGCTTCACCAGCATATTCAGTGGCCGCAGGTAGTAACGTGTCTAAAGGTAGAGTTGGGTTCTGGCCATATAGTAGATAGAAGGGCGAATATCAGGCAGTGTTGTGACGAGATGAGTTGTAGGCGAACGTCACATACGGCAAATGAATGTCCCAATCATGGTGGTCTGGCGCAACATATTTGGCAAGCATATCGGTTAGGGTCCTGTTAAGGCGCTCCGTGAGGCCATTTGACTGGGGATGGTACGAAGTAGTAAATTTGTGCTTGGTATGGCAAGACCTCAGGATTTCATGAACGACAGCTGATAAGAACGTGCGGCCACGGTCGGTGAGAAGTTGACGGGGAGCACCGTGCACTAGTATTATGTCGTACAGCAGAAAGCCCGCAACGTCGGTAGCGCAGGTGGTCGGGAGTGCTCGTGTGATTGCGTACCGCATCGCGTAGTCCGTGGCAACAGCAATCCATTTATTTCTAGCTGTGGAGAGTGGAAAAGGGCCCAACAGGTCGAGACCAACTCGAAAGAAAGGCTCGTTGGGAACGTCGATCGGCTGAAGGTAGCCGGCTGGGAGGGCAGACGGCGTTTTGCGACGCTGACAGGGCTCACAAGCGGCGACATAGCGTCGAACAGAGCGGGCAAGTCCAGGCCAAAAAAACCGACGTCGTACCCGATCGTATGTTTGAGAAACGCCCAAATGGCCCGTCATGGGAGCGTCATGTAGTTGATGCAGGACAGTGGAACGCAGGTGCGCTGGGATGACAGGAAGTAAGCCTGATCCGAAGGAATCAAGGTTGCGGCGATATAGGATCCCGTCTTTGACTAAAAACATTCGTAGGGACGGGTCGCGAGGCGTTGACTCCAGTTTGTCAATGATGGCTCGTAAAGAAGCATCCCGACGTTGCTCTTCGCCAATGTTTAACAGCTGCGACACGGAAAACACGTCCGTGATAGCGTCAGTATCGGTTGCTTCGTCAACAGGGTAGCGGGATAAACAATCCGCATTCTGATGTAATCGCCCTGTTTTGTACATTACAGAGAACGTGTACTCTTGAAGGCGTAGAGCCCAACGAGCGAGACGTCCCGTAGGGTCCTTCAGGGAGGCTAGCCAGCAGAGCGCGTGATGATCCATGACAACACGGAATGAGCGCCCGTACAGGTATGGGCGAAACTTGGCGACTGCCCATACAAGGGCGAGGCACTCGTGCTCCGTGATGGAATAGTTGCGCTCGGCTGGAGATAGCAGTCGACTTGCGTAGGCTATAACACGGTCGTGTCCGCGTTGTTGCTGCAATAGTACAGCTCCTATGCTGTGTCCACTGGCGTCCGTGTGAACCTCGGTTGGGGCTAATGGATCAAAGTGAGCCAAGATTGGTGGCGTTGTAAGCAATGTCGTAAGTTGCGAAAACGATGACGCTTGATCATGGCCCCAGATAAACGAGGCGTCTTTCTTCAAGAGGTCTGTGAGTGGGCGTGCAATGGTCGCAAAGTCCTTAACAAAGCGTCTGAAATATGAGCACAACCCCACAAAACTGCGGACATCCTTTGTGGTCTTCGGAACGGGAAAGTTCGTGACTGCGCGAATTTTCTCTGGGTCTGGATGCACGCCTTGAGCATCGACAAGGTGACCGAGCACGGAAATTTGACGACAAGCGAAGCGACACTTGGAGGCGTTCAGCTGGAGTCCGGCTCGACGAAATACGTCCAGAATAGCTGACAAACGATCAAGATGCGAGTCGAATGTGGGCGAAAAGACAATAACATCGTCAAGGTAACATAAGCAGGTGGACCATTTCAGCCCTTGGAGCAATGAGTCCATCATTCTTTCAAATGTGGCTGGTGCATTGCAGAGTCTAAAGGGCATCACCTTAAACTGATAAAGTCCATCAGGAGTGATGAATGCGGTCTTCTCCCGGTCCATCTCGTCGACGGCTATCTGCCAGTACCCTGACCGAAGGTCAATAGTTGAAAAATAAGTGGCACCGTACAGGCAGTCGAGGGCGTCGTCGGTGCGAGGTAAAGGATAAATGTCTTTTTTGGTAATTTTGTTAAGGTGACGGTAATCGACACAAAAGCGCCATGTTCCATCTTTCTTTTTAACAAGGACGACTGGAGAAGCCCAGGGGCTGCATGAAGGCTCGATAATGTTTTTCGCAAGCATTTTGCCGACTTCATGTTGTAATATTGCACGCTCCGACACCGACACACGGTAGGGGCGTCGGTGAATGGGGGTTGCATGACCAGTATTTATGCGGTGGGTGACAATGGTCGTTTGGCCCAAAGAGTTGCTGGCAAAGTCGAAAATGCTACGATAGCCCTCAAGAACGTGGCAAAGCGCTGCAGCTTGCTCAGACGTGAGGTCCGATGACACCATTCGCTCGATGTCGGCGCCCCAAGAACGTGATGGAGTGGAACCACTGACTAAGCTGCAGCAATCATCAACTCTGAAGGGCTCGACATGGTCATCTTGGAGAGCAGTAATTTTGCCAGGGAGATACCCTGTGGCAGAACTTGGGTGGTGAGTGAAAAGTTGACCAGTGGAAGGAAGGTGTGGTTTCTCTTAATCGTCAGAATCATATGCGGCACAGCAACCCCATGTGTAAGCATCACTGCAGGAATCGGGGCCACCATGTAATCACCATCAGGTACTGGCGGCGTGGAGGATAAGTCGACATGTGTGATAGAGTTAGGAGGGAGGCGCGTGAAATCAATGCAGCAGAGGCTGGTTTGCGGTGGGCTGGTTGGGTCGGAAAAGAGGGGTAAATCGAGATGGAGAGAGCCAGCTGAACAGTCTATGAGGGCAGAGTGCGTGGCTAGAAAATCCATACCGAGAATGAGTTCATGAGGGCATTGTTCGATAACGGCGAAAAGAACGACAGTGCTTCTCTCCCCAATAGACACTCGCGCAGAGCACATGCCAAGAATTGCAGCAGTTCCTCCATCAGCGACTCGTACAGCTCGGTTGAGGGCGGGTGTGACAACTTTTCTAAGTCGGCGGCGAAGGTTAGCACTCATAATGGACACATGCGCGCCAGTATCTATCAATGCACTGACACGAACATTGTCGACAGTAACGTCCAAATGGTTCCGGTTCGTTGTTAACGTTAATAGAGGATTTCTTACGAAAGTCGTCAACGCAGCTCCACCTCCAGAAGCTGCACGGCCTAGTTTTCCGGTCGGAGATGCTGCGAATAGGTCAAGGAGGCAGCACGGCGTTGTGGGGGCGACCGGGACTGACGACGAGCAGGGGACGGTGACCGGTCGTAGCGAGGTCTGCTCAGACGTGCTGTAGGAGCGGAAAATGTGGTCGGCGTTGATGGAGAAAGTGGTGGGGACGACTGGCGAGCAGAAGTGGTGTGATACTGAGGTGCATAATGGGACGGTGGAGCCCAGCGGCTGCGGCAGTGACGAGCGATATGACCAACGCGTCGACAGTTAAAACATATGGGCCTGTCATCAAGAGTACGCCATTCGGACGGATTGCATTGTATGCGAGGTGCAGAAGGGGTACGATAAGAAGGCTCAGCAGAGTATACGGCAGGAACAGGACGTAGGCCGACATTCGAGAGCTCTTGACGAACGATCGCTTGTATTAAAGAGATCGTGGTCGGGGAAGGCGCAGGCGTCGGTAATGGCGTGGCTAGCGGTGGTGCTGCCTCGACCTCTCGACGAATGATGCGTGTAAGGTTGTCACATCGAGGGGCCTTCGTGGCTTTCAAACCATGTTCGGGGAGTGCCGTCCAGGTAGAAAAGCACGTTGGCGAGCATGAGCGTGGGATCCCATCGGTGAGTAGCACTGACGCGCTCGTACCGCTTCAGCCAAGTGTCGAGATCGATCGTACCATCACCGGAGAAAGTGCCGGGATCCCGGAGGTGCGGTAGTGTGACGTAGGTGGTGGCTTGGACTGATGAGGGCGGCGTAGAGGAAGTACCAGCAGTCGAAGCAGTCGAAAGGTCGCCGATGGTGCGACCGCTGCGCGTCTCCATCGAGGTACGGGGGTCGTCCACCTCCACCAATAATGTTACGAGTAACTTGTTTAATAATCTATTTACAGCGCACAGAACCCGACGAGCAAGATGGCGTCAGACCAGCATCCAATGAAAAACCCACTTCGTCCTCCTCTTTCATGCAGCCGTGTTTAGCGGCTGTTTTGTATCAATATTAATATTCATGAGTTGCTTTGACAATGCTGAACATTGCAATTAATGTATGGCCAATTTAATCTGTTTCTTAAACACCAATAGCTTCTGCAAACCAGCATTTTTTCTGCTCCGAAAACACTTATGGCTGCTCCGATGCAGTACTTCTCCTGCCCCTAAGGATGCTCCAAAAAAGTAAAAAGACACTTCTATCGCAAAAAATAAATAGTGCATTTGAGCGGTAGTGCACTTGTCGAAATATTAGTAGTACTAACCGACGCGATGCAATGGAGCAGACAAACGAGCGTATTTGCATCCCGTTTGTTTGTGATGTCAATATTTCAGTGTTAATCTATAATACCAACTAGCCCGCCTTTCAACCCTAGTGCTCATGTCTAATGCAGACTCTCGAGACATACGTACATGTGTTAGTGGCATGTGTGTAGGAGGGTGTGTAATTTTTGAACTTTGTGTCTTGTTTTTATGTATCTCGTCTGTCTGAGTCGTGAACTCTGTACATTCTGTTGGCAGACCAATAGGCCCTAATTGCAACCTAAAAAAAATAAACCTGTGACAATTATTGCCTGAGTGAAAAGAGAGTTTAGAGCTAAAGATTGTTTTAGAATATGAGGGTGAATGTCGTGAGAATGCTTTTATGAGAATACTTTTTCCTTGCCTTCCAGTGTCGGCACGGGAGTCTCTTGCTGTAAATGGAACCGAGGCCCCATTGCACAATAGTCCCGCAAGCATAAAGGATTCTTCGGCTTTGATCAACTCAGTGCTATCGGCTTCGAAGGAATCCTCGGGAGACCCTCAGAATGCAGGCAAAGCAGCCGCTATGGTCAGTAGTAGGTCTCACGACTTTCTTTCTTAATTTCGCTGCTTGAAGCCTAGCTTGAGCGGTCTTCCAAAAGCAGTTGGTTTGGTGGAATTTTCTGGTTATTTTCTTGCATGCTTCGGTCATTTATTTTATGCATGGTAGACTTGAGAGATGCCCCGTTTCATTTCAAAAGAGTTTGGACCTAGGTGATGATTTTGCTGCAGTTTACGCCGGGGTTCGGACAGGTTCTTGAAATCCATGAAAACCCTTGAATTTGAAAAACAGGTTCTCCAGGCCCTTGAAAGTCCTGGAATTTTTTTCTCGTCCTTTATAATTCTTGAATTTCCTGAGCAGTGCACTCCCCAGGTTGACGTTTTCAGCCTCTTTAATGTGGTAGATCGCTGTTGACCTGACGAACTCGCTAGTTCATAAACAGTAATTTAACATGAGCGCGCATGATTCTGTTTTGCAGAAGTGCGTTGGGAAAAAAATTCAGTTTGTCTGTTGGTGCGGTGTAGAAATGAATGCGATCTCAATCATTCTTATAATCTCATACACTCCTGTAAGCATTCAGTGCGTGTTGTTCTTGAGAGCCTATCAAGACTTCTAGGCTTTTTTTTATAATTGTGTTGTCTATTTAGTTACTGATATCCATTTACGTTAGTACAATAAAACTAACCATATTTGAAGATTTTATAGAAAAATATTTGAAGTGTGCATGCTGCTTTGAGACATTGAAAAACCTGCAACGGCTCCTGGAAAAGTCCTTGAATATCCTTGAAGTTTTGCTTCGGAAACCTGTATGAACACTGTTACATGCTGTGTGTGCAGTGAAGTGATCAGCAGAGAGCGATGTCACATTGTTCACTGCATATACTCCAGAACTCTGCGCTTTGCTCTATATTTTACCGTTGTCGAAATAAAAAAAGTGGACTGGGCGTTTAGTGAGAGGGCAACACGAGTGACCCCTAATCATTAAAAGGAAGGCAAGATTCAATTAGGCATCAGGCGCACAAGAGGCGGCGGAAAGTTGGGTCGGCAGGTGAGATTACCAAGTTTCCAGAGACATCGTAGCGGTAACAACCAGAGTATACCAAGTTAATTGGTGAAACATGGGAGAGGCCTTTGCCCTGCAGTGGGCGTACTTTAATTGATGATGATAATGACACATAAAGCTAGTTGTCCTTACTGTAATACTCACTCCAGAGGTGCACTGATTGTTTCTTGGCACAAGCAGTGGTCACAGAATAATAATAAAAAAAAAGTTTTTTTATAATCTGTCACTACACTGACCCTGGTGGTTCCAAGAGAGTTCAACGTGACCTATAAATGAGCAATTATATGTGCAGAGTTGTAGTCTGTTTTGTTTATTGAGCACAAGCTATTCGTGCTTACTTAAGGTTGTACAATAAGTAAGTACAGTCAATCCCCGGCACAACAAAATTGACAAGACATGCGAAGCAATTCGCTGTAGAATCCCAGCAAGCGCATGCAGCGAACTCTCACCAACTCCGATGATGCTGCCCGCACACCGAGTGAATGTACCTATTTTATCGCGTGTAACACGATCAAAATATACAGAAAATTTAGAGCTTAAGTTGAGGTTTGGTGTGCAAGCTGGCTTCATGGCACGCTTTCACAGTAATGCAAAGAAAGCAGCCTTGGGTCAATATGCGGGTATTTTTTTTTTCTTTCTCCCGCGGTTTGCACCCAAGGGTGCCAGGTATTTGCATGGGCAGGTTGTACACAAAAAAATTACAATATTCAAACGACCCTTGGAGCGTGCTGAGTGCACAGCGCCACAATCAAGCATGCGAATGCTTTGCTAGCGGCCAAATGAAAACTGCAACTGGAAGTGCCGAAGCTCTGCCTAAGCTTCGCACTACCTAGCCATAAGCGTACGACAAAAAAGCCTTAGCGCTTTGTGCCATTTAACGACTTTATTGCCTCTAGTCTGCGGCTGTGTCACCTGCACACCTTCAGATCGTATTCACTATTGAAGAACGCGACAATCGCTACTGGTTTTCTGCGCAGAGATTGCGGCAAACGGTAGTTCCGTATTCAATTTGAGCACGTGCCTTCAGAATTGCGTCGATGATATCTTTGTTTGCATCGACACGGTTTTGTCCGCAGCATTGATCTATGGCGAAGTCGATACTGTGTGGAAAGTCCAAACTTCAAGCATGGTTGACCTTGCCCAACACAAAGTTGTGCTCTAAATGTGCATTAAGGCGGTGTCCTAATCATCAGAGAATTTTTATTTCCGTTATCTTTGCATTATTCTTGTCTATTTTCAGGCTGATTGCTTCTGTATGTGCGACCAGAGTGTATGACGAAATTTTTTTCTTTCTTTTTTTTCTTACGTCTTGTATGTTCTGCTTGAGACTTTGCTAAAAGTTGTCAGCCTTGCCAGGGTAATTTTCACTATTTTCTTAAGCACGGGTTGTTGTAGGCAACACCAGGAAATTTTTGGTTTGGCGGATTGTCTTTCGTCTTCACAAAGGAAGGCCTCAGCTTGCTCATCGGAATATTGCTGAATATTGTAGGTCACGTCAGAAAGGCTCGCTGATCTCAGGAACATGTGGCACAAAGGAGCATATCTAGGCTTGTGGCAAATATTTCAATGCCTTGAATATTCAAATGAATGAAGTAAGCTCGATTCGAATTTTAATTGTTGAAAATTTTCGAAGTATTCAAAATAAACGAATAAGTATTATTAATCCGAATGTAACCCCCTGGAATGGTGGTTTCACTGAAGTAGAGAGATGCTAAGTTAAGAAAGCACCTACTC